CCCTGGAGGTGCTGTCCCCTGGAGGTGATGACCCCCTGGAGGTGATGTCCCCTGGAGGTGCTGTCCCCTGGAGGTGATGTCCCTGGAGGTGATGTTCCCTGGGGGTAATGTCCCCCCTGGAGATGGTATCCCCTAGAGGTAGTATCCCCTAGAGGTGATGTCCCTGGAGGTGCTGTCCCCTGGAGGTCATTTGGCATCCTTGTACTGCCCACCCAAACACACTCCCTGAGGCCAGGAACTCGCCCATCAAGGCCATGGAGCTCTTGGCCGGGTATTCCCTTCCTTGCCCTGTCCGCTTCCCCGTGGCCCCAGGTTTGAAGGCTGTGGGATCTGTGCTCTGGAGCCATGGGGCCTCACAGTGAGACCCCCCGGTCCCCATGTGGTCACTGGACTAAACAAGAAACACCTGTTACAGTAACTGGCATCTGGTGCAGAACTAAGGAAGGTGGGCTTTATTTTCCTTTTTCCCCTTAAACCACAGGTCATGAACAAGGAGACTAGAACCAACCAAAAGGCCTCAGGTCCACACTCGGGCTTCACAGAAGCAGGAACTCTGACCGCCCAGGCTGGGGCCAGTCCAGAGGCCGCTGGGTCCCTGAAGCCATAGAGTGGGAATCCCAGGCCAGTGTCCGGGTCACTCGCCTCCCGGCAGACAGAGCCCTGAGTTCCCAGGCCGGGTGGGGGGACGAGTAACCCCCAAGAGACTCGCCCACACCCCTGCTCTCGACCCTAGGACGGCACGTCTCCCAGGTCCTACAACTCGCAGCCCTGCAGGCCTAGTTATTACCCCTCTACAGACTGCAAACGGGGGAATTGTGCCCCCCAAGAGATGCTGGGCTCCTAACCCCAATGCCTGTGAAGGGGACCTTATTTGGGAACAGGGTCTTTGCTGAGGATCAAGTTAAGTTGGGTCGTTACAGGGGGCCCTGATCCCATATGGCCGTGACCTTGAAGGTCCCCTTAGTCACTCAAAGTTCTGTCAGGAACAGGGGATGGGCAGTCGTGGATTATGGAGGAATTATCTGAAGTCAGAAGGGAAACCTGCCATGAAACTTGTCATCTGCAAGGGGAAAATTGGACGAGACAGGCAGGCAGATGTGAATCTAGGTCTGATATAATATTTAGGCCAAGAAGAGCCCAGGTGGAAATCAGAGAAGAAACCACATTGGCTTTGAGAACAAAAAAAGAAAAAAACTTCTCTGGCCAGAATTCTTGGTTGGCAGGTTCTGCTATTGAGACCCCCATGATGGGTGAGGGAAGGTGTGCCTGGAGGTCGGAGGGCCCGGGGTGGTCCCAGCCCGCTCCCACCACCTGCGGCCCGGGCTCCTCTCACCTGTGTGATGGCCCAGGAGAGCAGAGGTCCTCAGTTCCCGCCAGGGGGAGCCAGGCTTGGCCGGAACTGTGTGGGAATAGTGGGTAGGGGCTGGTCTCTAGGGCACTGACCCTCAGAGCTGGAAGCAGCCCAGCTGGCCGGTCACCCCTGCTTTCAGCCAAACCGTGAAGGCATCAGATAGCATCAAAGACCCGCTTAGCGCTTTCATCACTTCTGTCAGTGGGATTCTCAACTCCAGGTTTTATTTTTCCAAAGCTTTTGGGCCGATGGTTTGACAAACAAGGAATTATCAGAGCTCCGGAGCACAGGGGACATGCAATCTCTGTGCAAATTCAAACCTCTCTATGTCCCATCAGAAACCAATCAGAGAGTAGAATAGAAAAACAGGTCGTGTTCAAAACCCCTACAGAAATATGTACTTAGAAACAGGCCTAAGAATAGCTTTCTGGGAAAGTCATAAAACTTTGCTGACAGATGTAAGGACCTGAAAAAATTGAGAGTGATGCCATGTAGGATGGCGGGAAGACTTCCTGTTCTAAACATGTTCATTCAGCCCCTGGTGAGCTTTTAAAATCAGTGCAGATTGAATTGAAATTCCACAATGTAATAGGAAAAAAGATCTTTCGTGGAACTTGACAAAGCGATTCTAAAATTCATATGGAAGTGTAAATTGCAAGCAATTTTAAGGTGGAAAAGCAAAGGAGTTTTGTTTTGTTTTTATTTTTTATTTCCTGTCCCACCAGCTGTGAAAGCACAAGCTGACAAGGGTGCCGGGTCAGGCACACAAGGACCAGGAGGCCGTTGACGTGCGTGAACCAGTGCTTAACAGAACCAGGGAGTGGGTGACAGCCGCTCACCCGAAATCGCTTGCAACACTGGGAAAGATGACATTCCTACCTCATACCATACATACAGATGGACGCCAGATATATTTATTAACGACTTAAATGTAAAGGCATCTGGAATTCTAAAATCATTTCTATAGAGGAGAGAATATGTCTGACGTTGATGTGTGGAAATCCTCCTTAAAAGAGAGACTCCACAGCAAAATGAAAAATATCGATCACATTTAGATTTATGACACAAGAGATCAAAAACTAAGCTAAAAAAATAAGCACAAACTGGATGAGATACTACTGATATCCAGGCAAAGATGAATGGCCCGGAATGTACCGAGAGACTGCGCCAGTGCCAAAGAGACAGACACACAGCCCAACAGAAAATGGCAAAACTGGGAATAGCAGTCTGCAGAGGAGAAGTACGAGTGACCGGTGAACACACAAACAGGGCTTTCCATCACCGGCAATCAGAGATGCAAACTGAAACAGCTCTTGTACAACGCAACGTGGTTGGCGATAGGAAAGTGTGCAACAGAGAAGGGTGTGTAAATCAACCGTGGGCACAGCTGCTTTGGAAGCAAGCTGGCATTGTCTTAAAAGCTACAGCTTACTTCCAATTCAACTCCTAGCTCTCCAGCCTAGAGAAACCCTCACGTTAAGTGTACTAGGATTCCTACGCGTTACAACATTGTTTATTTGAAAAAATCAAAACAAAACAGAGAACATCCAAACACCACAGAAGGGAGAACGAGCTGACCTGTCAGCCTTTTACACCATGGAACGTTCGGTGTCGTGAAAATCCTAAGATGGGCAGCTCCGAGACCCTCAAGGTAAGGCTGGGTGAAGACTGTGCGTCCTGGAGTCTTTATTGTAAACCTGGAGACGCCGCACCCGGGCAGACCAGGTCCCCCTGGCCAGCGGTCCTCTCCGACCCCTCACTGCCCCCTCCAGGCGGCCGCCTGCCGTCCTGCTCTCCTGTCCTCGCTGAGGCCCGCTCTTCTCATGGGGCCGGGCCTGGGGTCCCCACCCCTATGTCCATGAGGACACAGCCCAGGGACTTGGGCTCATCTCACTCCACAGGCGTTTGAGCGAGAGGATTTTCTCATCCACAGCTAAACGCTTTGCTGTTCTGGCTTCACTTTTATTCATTAGTTTCTGCTTTTTTTTTTTAAAGAATCTTCCTAAATTCAGAGGCAATATATTCCCTCTGAGATTCTCAAGCCATTGCCCTCTGGTGTGGTGTGCTGGCAAAGAAAGCCCCGAGCGTCTCCCATGGCTGGTTTCGGCCCATTTGCCAGACGCCGGGGGGCTGAAAGCAGCCCGTTACCCATCTGTCATAAAGCACAGTCTGATGCCAGCGGGGCGGGAGGGCTGGGGTCTCTGTCTGGGGGCCTCCAGGCTCATGGCGAGCTGGACCGCGCCTGCCGCGTGTCCAGGCAGCATCGTGCTGGGATGCGAACCGCACATTCCCTCCTGGGGCTGGAGGTCGGGTGTTGCAGCTGCATAACTCACGTCCTCAGGCCCTGGAGCCAGAGGTGACCTTGACTGTGGCCCAGCAGGAGGGTGACCTTGAGGTTCTGCTCTGTGCGCTGCTTGGCGCTGTCTCAGGTGGGTGCCCGCTAACTTCCCCGGGTGGGCTCAGCAGGGGGAGGGGTTGGATGCGGCCAGGGAGGGAGCCCCTCAGTCCCTGGGGCTGCCCACTGCCCACGGCCCCAGCCCATCCGGCCCTTCCGCCCTTCTCGGACAGTCACATGGAGGATCCCCAAGTGGAGGGCCCAGAGCTCAGCACAGCCCCAGGCTGGACCCTCGCTGCCCGCATGTGGGCAGAGCACTTCCGGCTGTCACTTCCTGGGGATGCCTCCCTGCCTCACTGGACCGTCCAAACCCGCCCAGCAGCCACGGTGCTCACTAGGCCCTTTGGGCACTTTCAGAGACCCCCATGCCCGTGGGAGCGCCCATTTAATGGGTTCTCTTGGAGTGCAGCCAATCTCTGGGGGCGCCGGGAACCACAGCTCTGATGCACTCCCCAGATCTCTTTGGTGAGAACTCCCTGGAGTTCTCTGTAAAATTCAGATTCCTGGGCCCCAGTCCAGACTAAGTCCACCCCTTCCTGGTTCTTGCTGTTTACACAGCTGTTCAACACCCTCCGCCTTCCCCACTAAACCTTACCCAGTTCTGACTTCGCTCAGCCCTGCATCCCAATGCCTGGCATATCGTCGGTGCTCAAGAGGTGTTTGTTGAATGAATAAATGACCTGGCTGTGACTTTCAGCGGTTACTTCTGCATTCATTTTCTCAAGTTGCAATATGGAGAAATTTCTGCCTCCTTTGCGGGGTAAAGGTGAATCTGCACGTGAAAGAGCGTCCTGCCCAGAGTCCTTAAGGTTTCACGAAGGGCATCAGCAGTGCTGATGGGCAGCTCGTGACCTGCACAGAGCAGCCTCACCGCCATCACCGGGAGCCTGCAGAGCTGTGGCACCTCCCACCAGCCGGCGCTGCCATGTCCGCATCTGCATGGATGACATTGCAGAGACCCCCGTGCTCAGCCCGCCAGCACGCGGGGCCCCAGGGCTGCTCCAAGGGGCTGGTGGTGAGGGGTCAGGCCAGGAGACCAGGCCTGGCTGGGGTGTGACCCTCCCCTCCGCCCTCCTAGCCCCAAGAGTCAGTGGCCGGTTTCCAGTGGCGGGAGAGGACGTGCAGCAGGGAGGGGGTCCTTTATCAGCGGGAGCAGCTCATCCGAGGGGCTAATCGCCCGTTTCCTGTGGGCCATTGATCCTCTAACGGCGTCTCCAGCTCCAGGCCAGCTGTCTGCCGTTCCAGGCGTTCACAGCCTTTGGAAAAATTTTAAGTTTTCATGGTATCAGCAGGAAAATAGGAAATGGCTTGGAAAAGGGGGCTACGTAAAACAATGGTTTAAGGAGGCCCCGCGTTGGATAAACAGTCCTGGTTGCCCTTTGGAATCTATGGATTTAAACACACACTCAGGAATGTGTGTTCTGTGCCGGGAGATAGACAACCTAGAAGCTAACCAGGCCAGCGCTGCTGCTTGGCGGAGCTGCTGGTTGACACAGGAGAGGCCGGCAGGGGGCCCCCAGCGGCTCTCCGACGCAGGGACTCAGCCTGGGGCCTCAGCCCAGCCGGGCCAGGCCGGCCGCCGGACAGGTGCGGAGCTCACCGGAGCCAAGCGTGAGCTGGAGAGCTGGAAGGTGCAGGGTTAGGGCTAACCCTGCGGGGGACTTGCTCTGCTGCCGGGGGAGCGGTGTCTCGCTGCCAGAGGGAGTGTGCGGGGGGCCCACCTATTCCTCTGGCCCATCGGCAGGCAAGCGGGCTCCAGGGTTGGTTCGGCGGTCTTCGGAGGAGGCTTCTGTGTGTTTCCACAGGAGTAGGGCATTTTGGAGTTAGGATCAAAGACACACTTACTGAAAGAGTAAAATACCCTGCAATTGGCCTGTGGGCTCTTTGGCAGTGAAAATGAGGCGCGGCTGGCACAGCTCGGGCTGAAGGTGACCCTGAATTAGCAATATGCTTAATTCTCATGATAATAACTGAGGCGCCTGAGCCCTCATCCTGGGCCGGGGCTGAGCTCTGCTTGCACTGCTGTATCTGACCCCTAGGCCTGCGCACAGGGCAGGGAAGGCACTGCAGCCACTTGGCTTCTGAGATGAATACGGGGATAGGCCCAGGGAGGGGAGAGAGCTGCCAGGGAGCTCGGCCCCTGAGGGAATGGGGGGGTCTTGCCAACCAACCCCCCCCCAGCTCCTTTTGTCACCAGGCCACCTTTGCCACGTGGTGGGTCCCAGGCTGAGTTCAAGGGGCATCTTGTCCAGTCTGAAAGCTGTGATCTGAGCACCGCCCCCATTTAGAACCAAATTGCTGCGTCTTGCAGGAGACGGGCTGACAGTTCTCGTGGGAGCAGAAGACTTTGCTGACAGTTCCAGGCTCCTTCTCTCTCGAGAGGACGATACAGCAAGACCTGCCCTCAGCCTGCCCTCCACCGAGCGTGCGCACCTGGTGGCCTCAGGCTACCTGCCTTCCCACGTCACATCCGTGAGTATCATGGGGAAATATCCGGCAACCATAACATCCAGGGCACTCTTGTTTTTAAGCTCACGGTGTCTTGCAAATAGAGCTTTGTAATATTTCTTGTCTGTTCTAAAGGTAGGTAGGTGGCCTTCAATATCCTTCTTCTCAAATAATTTTTTTTCTTGTTCTGGTGAAGAAACAAGGTAACAAACAGAAACTGAGGGCTTGCCTGAGCAGAGACACAACTGGATAAGCCCGGCTCTGCAGGCCAGGCCTCAACCTCTTGCTCAGAGATGAAGGAGCAACGGTTCACAGATCAAAGGACACAAAACAAGATGGATTAAGAAAAGAAAGAGGGATGTGCAGAAAAAGATTTTTAACAAGCAGTAAGATGACGAACACTCTTGCTTGGCAGTTGTGGCCCCGGGCCCTCTGTGGCCTGGGATTCCAGCCACACAGCAAGATCCCTCCTTCACGAAGCAGCTGTGCCACTCAGGGAGAATTTCCCCTGAGACTCAGAATAGCTCTCTGTGCCCTTCACCCTTTTCTCCACTTCCCTTTGGATTCTCAAGTACAGAGTCCAGCTGCTTCAGACTTTCAAATACTTGAAGACGCAAACGCACCTGAGTTTCCTTTTCCAGGATGAGTGTTTTCAGCTCTCTCATCAGGTCCTCACACGGCAGAGCCTCTAGACCTCTTCCCCTGCCCCATCCCAGGAGCTCTGGAAGGCCATAATGGCAGCCCTGCAGCCCCAGCTCACAGCTGGACTACACTGCCCAGCATCCCATGCTATTAGAGACTATACTTCCCAGTATCCAGTGTGGTTGGGGACTACAGTTCCCAGCATTCCACCTTGTTTGGGACTACACTTCCCAGCATCCTGTGCTTATAGAGGATGCTGTGTCTTGAGTTCTGGCCAAAGGAATGTGGGGGAGCCATTTTGGTTTCCTCCAGGCCTGGTCCAGGAAGACCCCACCTGTGTTCCTCCTCCATGTCTTTCCTTCCTCCCCTCCTGGGATAGAGACACCAGGGTGCTCTTGGAAGCCTCGTGTTCCAGATGGCAGCCCCTCCTTGGCTGGAGCCACCCCCGCCGCGACTTCCCTCCAATAGGTTGGTTTGTCTGTTACTGCACCCTCCTCCCTACTAGTGAACAAGGCCCCGTAGCCAGGGGGTGGCGGAAAGCCGTTGTCACCTATTCACCAAGACCTCCAGGTCGCTTCCAGATCTCCCCAAGGGATACACCCTAAGGTGCCATTGGCAATGGTGTCCTCACGGCACCGCTGAACCTTGATGAATCAGCACCCCTCCCCCCCCGACACGCCCTCCAGGTTGGCCTGCAAGCAGGACTGGCAGGGCTGGGAGGTGACCCTACGACAGCCTCTTCCACACAGCACGGCCGCAACAGCTCGTGTCCCTAGACTGGAACAAGCTGCAGTTGGGCCAGTGGGTAGATTACAGTTATTTCTCAAAACCAGCCGAAGGCCTAGCCGCAAACCGTGTAGGCTGTGGCTCCGAGGAGGAGGTGGTGGGAGGACAGCACCTCAGGTCCGCCGTCAGCCTCGCGGTAAGGCAGCCCCGTGCTCAGATGCACAGCCTTTCCCTAGAAGAACACAGCGCTCATTACTGGATTTTCTCTGGCATGAAAAGGAAGAGTTTTAAAAGAAGGAGAAGGTGCCAGTCGTTCACCAATCACAGAAAAGTAAGTAACGCAGCCCCCTTCCCTCCCCCTTCACCTCACACGACGTTAGCCCAACGTTAGGGCCGGTGACCTGGGGACACCTTTGATTTCCCATTAAGTGAAAATGAGAATTGTCTCGGGTGATGAATTATCTGGGCAATCCTGCCAGAAGCGAAGTCTGCTCAGGCTCAAAAAGAAAATAAAACACACGTGGCACCCCTGAGCGCGACCTGTTTGTGAGGGCTCGCTTTTCCCGCCTGGGCTGGCTCCCCTGGGTGGGCAGAGGATGAGGACAAAGGGCCAGGCCTCCCGGAGAGTCCAGCCTGGAGACGGAGACTGGAGGGCCATTCGAGAGCCCCTGGGTGTGCGCCTGGCTGGGACTGCGTGTTTGCGAGGGGAAAGGAGCACCCGGGACCAGCTCAGCTTTCCCAGCCTGGCCCTGCCCTTGCCCACACCTGTAGCCCCGCAGTCAGCGGCACCCTCCCCCTCCTCTGCTCCCAGGAGCCGGGTCGGCGGGGGGCGGGGACGGCGGACCTAGAGCGGGGCAGTGCGATGGGAGGGGGACAAATTCTGGGTCAACGCGGCATGGTGATGTTAGGGGAACCACTGACAGAAACCGCCCGTCCTGGCCGGGCCTCTTAGTAACCACTTGCATGAAACAGGAAGTCCTGGTAAGGAACTCGGAACTAACAAGCCACCACCGACCGGAAGAATTTGGGAAAGGTCAGAGGAGAGAGGAGACGCTAGTCCGTATGTCCTACCAACCAACCTCCCAGAGTCCTTCTCGCTGGAATCCGTCTCGCCTGAGCGAAGCGTGCACCACCAGGAAGGACCCTGAGTCAGAACGATTGGCCAGGGACAGTCCGGAAACTAACCCCATCACCGTAAAACCGGAGACTGTGAGCCACGTGGAGAGCAGTCCTCCTGGGTCCCCTCACCCTCCCGCTCGCCCCCCCGGGCGCCCCTGCCCAGTAGAGTCTCTCGCTTTGCCAGCACGTGTGTCTCCTCCGACGATTCAGTTCCGAGTGTTAGACGAGCCGTCTCCGGCCCTGGAAGGAGTTTCCCTACCTGCAGCAGTGACATTGGTGAGATCACCTTATAGAAAGGACCTCGGTGAGTCCCAACTCTCTGTTTTACACACGAACCATTTCAGAGCCCTGAGGGGTTTGTCCAAAGCCGCAGAGCCTGTGGGAGCTGGGGGTCAAAGCCCTGCCCTGGGCACAGCTGCTCCGGGCGGGCAGGGGCCTGAGCCTGGGCTTCCCAGGCTATGGGGTGAAGGGGCCACACGGGGAGGAACCAGGAGCTGGGTCTTTTCAGACCAAAGGAGATGGGCAGAGGTTTCGGTCTACCCTATAGGTGAGGGTGTGCAAGGTGGGCATGGCCACATGTTGTTTTTTTTTTTAAACATCTTTATTGGGGTATAATTGCTTTACAATGGTGTGTTAGTTTCTGCTTTATATCAAAGCGAATCAGTTATACATATGCATATGTTCCCATATCTCTTCCCTCTTGCGTCTCCCTCCCACCCTCCCTATCCCACCCCTCCAGGCGGTCACAAAGCACCGAGCTGATCTCCCTGTGCTATGCGGCTGCTTCCCACTAGCTATCTACCTTACGTTTGGTAGTGTATATATGTCCATGCCACTGTCTCACTTTGTCCCAGCTTACCCTTCCCCCTGCCCATATCCTCAAGTCCGTTCTCTAGTAGGTCTGTGTCTTTATTCCTGTTTCACCCCTAGGTTTTTCATGACATTTTTTTTCTTAGATTCCATATATATGTGTTAGCATACGGTATTTGTCTTTCTCTTTCTGACTTACTTCACTCTGTATGACAGACTCTAGGTCTATCCACCTCATTACAAATAACTCCATTTCATTTCTTTTTATGACTGAGTAATGTTCCATTGTATATATGTGCCACATCTTCTTTATCCATTCATCCGATGATGGGCACTTAGGTTGTTTCCATCTCCGGGCTATTGTAAATAGAGCTGCATTGAACATATTGGTACATGACTCTTTTTGAATTATGGTTTTCTCAGGGTATATTCCCAGTAGTGGGATTGCTGGGTCGTATGGTAGTTCTATTTGTAGTTTTTTAAGGAACCTCCGTACTGTTCTCCATAGTGGCTGTACCAATTCACATTCCCACCAGCAGTGCAGGAGGGTTCCCTTTTCTCCACACCCTCTCCAGCATTTATTGTTTCTAGATTTTTTGATGATGGCCATTCTGACTGGTGTGAGATGATACCTCATTGTAGTTTTGATTTGCATTTCTCTAATGATTAATGATGTTGAGCATTCTTTCACGTGTTTGTTGGCAGTCTGTATATCTTCTTTGGAGAAATGTCTATTTAGGTCTTCTGCCCATTTTTGGATTGGGTTGTTTGTTTTTTTGTTATTGAGCTGCATGAGCTGCTTGTAAATTTTGGAGATTAATCCTTTGTCAGTTGCTTCATTTGCAAATATTTTCTCCCGGTCTGAGGGTTGTCTTTTGGTCTTGTTTATGGTTTTGAGGACTGTCTCAGGACGGGACAGCTTGAGTGGCCTCCGGTGGTGGCCTGTGAGAGAGAGAGGGGCTGTGGCGAGTGGACACAGAGCTCACTCACCTGGGTCCTGTCCAGCCCGGCCGGGGCTCCCCTACGCCCCCAACTTCTCTCCCCACCCCACCCATGCTCCATTCCCTTGTCCCCTTCCCAGGGAGGGACTTAGTCTCCCCTTCCCAGATTGCTGCCCCACCCCTATTGGCGGCCTCCACTCCTTTGCCATCTGTGCCTCTGGCCCCCTGGGAACCCAAGTCGGGTGGGTGACAGGCTCGCCCGAGGGGCACTTGCTCATCCACGCGTCTGTTGATGACATCGGTGTGTTTCCAGGTTGGGGTTCCTAGGATCCCCCCCCACGTGTCTGTCTGGACATCACACCCATTCTCACGGGAGGACTCCTTGGGGTGGGCTTACTGGCTCCTAAGTGCGCTAGTTTCCCAGGGCAGCGTAGCAGGAGCCGCCAGCTGGTGCCTCACACCACAGAGTGCATTCCCGTGCCGTCTGGAGACCGGAGGGGCCGTGGGACTCTTTCCTTCCGAGGCTGCCGGGGAGAATCCGTCTGTGGCGTCCCTCTTGCGTCTGGGGTCTGCTCACACGCCTGTGCTCCTCGGCCCACGCCTCCATCTTCCTTCGCTCGGTGCTCTCCCGGGCGCCTGTCTGGGTTCGAACACCCTCCTTTTGTAAGAAATCAGTCCTGTTGCGTTAGAGGACACCCTGCTCCAGTGTGACCTCAGCCTACCTGATAACATCGACAGGGACCCTACTTCCAAATCAGGTCACCTTCTGAGGTACTGGGGGTTCCATATATGAACTTTGGCAGGGACACAGTTCAGCCCGCAGTGACCGAGTCGGTGAACTGACCCTTGTAGAGCTCTGACGATGAGCCCCATGAGGTGGCCTTCCTTGGTTTCCAGCCTCATAACATCTGAGGAGGCCGCCCTTGACCCATCCTCGTTGTCGCCTGCAGACCTCCTGACCAGCCCCTCTCCTGTTTCCCGGGGAATGTGGAGCCTGGCTCATCATCTCTCCATCAACACAGACACCATTCTCGGCGATTTGAGGCCCTCATGGGTCACATATTCACCATCCTAGCCCTGATCCCTCAACTTTCTCGGGATTATTGACCCTCGCCGTTTTTCAAGCAGACGTGCTCATGACCTTGAGCCATGTCTTGGCGTCACGCTGAAGCTTGAACCTGCAGCCACGTCTGTACTGCCGCCTCCTACCCTCTGCCTCCCTCATCCCCTCACTCTCCGACCCCTGCTCTGTGACCTGACCCAGAGGTCAGCTCCTGTGCTATTCAGGCTCTTTAGGTCACAGGTCACGGAAACCCAACTTAAATGGCTGGCTCACCTACCTGGCAAATCCAGGAACTGATGGCTGCAGGCGCGGCTGGGGCCCTGGGCTCAGGGGAGGCCGTCCGTTCTTTCCATGCCCCCCTCTCCTGTCGCCTTCCCTCTCTGTCTCAATTTGGACCGACTTTGTTCTTCAAGCAGGTGTCTCCACCTGGCTGCCAAGGTGGCCACCGGAGCCCAAGTCTGGATTCTTACTGCTTGTGATCTGGAAGAAAGAAGCAGACATTCCTTCTGGCAGAGTCCAAGTGTTAAATCTCACGGGAGGGCTCTGACAGACTGTGCTCGGCTCACGTGTGGTCACTGGATGGGCCACTGGCCCCAGGGGGCCAGCGTGGCGTGACCAACCCCACTGGTGCCGAGGGAGAGGTTGGCCCATCTCTGAGGGTCTGTCAGGTGAGGCTGTTCGGCTTCACCATTTTGACCAGAAGACATTTTCATCCTGAGAGAGTTTCTGACTCTGAGTTCACGCACCATCATTTAATCAGAATTACACCAGCAGCTGTTGAAGTCTGTCAGGGAAGCATTTTCTGAAGCTAATTCCATTAAGCCAGTTTAGTTCCTGGACCAACTTCTACACAGTGCAGTTAACCAGATTGTTCCCGTTTTTATTTTTCAGTGAAGATTTGATTCATCCATTTTTGTGTGTTTTTTTTGTTTTTGTTTTTAAACGATGTCTAATTTCAGGAATCGTATCTTCTGCTAATGAGTATTCTTTTGTGGCTATTACTTCCACGAAGCCAAATTTCTTGGGTAATTTGCACAGATCTAAATTCTGTTAAGGGGACTTCCCTGGCGGCCAAGTGGTGAGACTTAGCCTTCCACTGCAGAGGGTGTGCAGGTTCAATCCCTGATCAGGGAATTAAGATCCCACATGCCTCGGGGCCAAAAAACCAAAACGTAAAACAGAAACAATATTTTAAAAAATTCAATAAAGACTTTAAAACTGGTCCACATAAAAAAAATTAATAATAAATAAATAAATAGATAAATTTTGTTAAGAATTCGTTAAGAATTCTTCCGTCAGTCTAAATCTTAAAAGATTCAACGTGTATGTTTACATTCTGTCAGTTTCACTTTCTGTTAATTATTTCTAACAAGGCTCATTTCTTTCTGGTTCAATTTCATGGTTTTCAATATTAGCAATGATTTTTTTGTTCAATTTTTATCTATAATGACGTCTATCATAGGCAGCCTCAGTTTTTGTTGGCTTTCTTTTGTGTTATTTCTACCAATAACCTTAAATTTGAATTGGAAAAAAGTCCAAGACTTTGTGTTTCTTAGCTAGTCCTGAAAAAAGTGGCATGTAATTACCCCCGGATAATTGTTCTTGTCCGTGACTGAGTTTTATGGCTTATTCAGTTCCTTCATGAACTATGAATAACCATCTGTTACTTGACAGAACGAAGTGTTTGCCGTGAGGTCAGAATGTCTCCAGATAAACGCGGCAAATCAAGAGCAGCGTCTTGGTCCTTCCAGAGCCACGCAGGGCGGAGGGGAGAAGCCCTTTCCCGAGAGAAGCTGTCCGCTGCTCCTACAAGGAAGGTGATGGGAAAAATGCTTGGAAATACAATGAAAAATTACATGGTCTTGTTCATCCGTCTCCCGACGTCTCTCCTCCCCTCAGGCCTTTGCTACTTTCATCCGGTGTCACCCACTGCACCCCTGTGTCCTCTACTGTCCCCGGACTTCTCGTTCCCCAGAGTCATTATGAAGGGACTTCTTAAAGATGGAGGACTGAACCAACACTCCCCTCTGTGCTGCCAACTGAAAAAAAATGTACAACCTTAAAGTCGAGAATTATGTTTTATTCAGCGGACAAAACTGAGGCCTTTCGCCTGGGACACAGCATCTCAGATAGCTCTGAGGGACTGCTCCAAAGAGACAAGGGTTGCGGGGAGGATATAGAGGAGATTTCGCAACAAAAACCAGGTTGTTGGGACATCAAAAGATTACTGTTAATGAAAGAAAACCAGACATCTCAAGTTAAGGAACTTAGTGCTTTTCTATTATGGGAAGATGCAAGAGTCTGGGCTCACTGAAATCACCCCTTTAATATGCACCTTAGCTCTCCGGGGCCAGCGTCCTGTGCTTCTCATCCTGCGTCTCCTCAGGGTGCGCCGTCGGGAGTGGCTGCAGCGGCTGATGAGTAGCTGTACTTGGCAGTGGGCAGCTCGTCTGACTTCATCCTGAGTTCCCTCAGGGCTCACCGTCGGGGTGGCTGCAATGTGATGGCTTGATGGCCACAACATCCTTTGTTTCCTGATATGGCAGCAACATTTTTCATGCACAAAACCCACTCCCAATGCTGCCCTGTCCACTAGTGCCTGTATCCCATGCTCCCCTTTCCTACTCACCCCCTCAGGATGCTGACCACAGCTGGAGAAGATGCAAAGGCCACCACTTGGTGCCCAGTAGAGGCTGCAACCCCAGCTGTGGCCCCAGGGCTGCACAGGATTCTTTGTCCCTGCCTCTCCTGTCCCTCTGCCCAGGCACCTCCTGACCCCCTCCCCTCCCTCTCCTCAGAGGCCCTGAGTCCACACTTCTCAGAGCAGACAGCTGTCAGGGGGGGGTCCCTGCCCACCTTCCTGCAGCTGCACTTCATCTTCTTTGGGGTGAAGACCCATCCCCCCCGCCGTCCTGGATCCCTCCCTCTGCCTCTTTAAGGACCACCCCCACTGAGGACCACTTGTTTCTGCTGTGTTCTGTCCCTTGCAGGGGGCTGGCCCTCCCGAGGCTCCTCTGACCCTGCTGTCTCCAGGCTCTGCCTCCTGCCCCCACCCCTGACTCTCAGAGCCTCTCTGACTCTGTCTTCTCCTCTCTCCTGGACCTGCCACTCTGAAGGATGCTCCTTCTCTTGCAGCCTCCCACCTGGATGTGGACCTCCTGCCTCTTTGCTCTAAACCTCTCCACACTTCCGCCAGCTCCACCCCTTCCCAACTTCAGCCTCGGATCCCAGATTTTCATCTCGGGTAGGACACCTGCTTGCCCGGGAGGGGAGCTCCGTTCCAGAACCTTCCGTCTGTCCCGCATCCCCAGGCCCTGCCCAGAAAGGTGGCCCAGCACGTGGGCACCCAGGGTCTGGCCTGTCCCTGCCTGTGGCTGCTTCCCACTCAGATGATGGGTGGGTCCCCAGGGCTCTCTGCGTCCACCTTCCCTCCCCACCCAGACTGGCCAAGTCCTGAAGCCAAGCACCACCACTTCCTGGCCCAGCAGTGCCCCTGGCTGGCCCGGCGTCCAGCTCAAAGGAGGAGGAGGGATGATGTGCACAAGCTCAGCTGGCCTTCCATCCACCAGCCAGCCCCTCCTGCTGCTGCTGGGGGAGGTCTGAGGGCGAGGGCCCTGGCCTCCACTCCCCTAGAGGTGGGCGCTGCCACATTAAACCTCAGGTGAAGGGTGTCGGGTGGGATGGAGCAGGGCAAGTGTTTCTTGACCTTGAGCTTGGGGAGAGAAGGCAGAAGGCGGTTGGTCCATCTGTCCCAGCTGCTTAAATGTTACCTGGTTTGTTGCAGGCCCTGACTGTCTGACGGCCCCCCGGAGCTCCAGGTCTGCCCGGAACACTCTGATGTGGGCTGGACGGCTGCACAGACCTGCTGCTGTCTCCTTGGGCCCTGGGCTCTCTCCTCTGGGTCGGGACTTGGGCTCCAGTGTCCCAGGCAAACAGCCTAGTCATGAGCACTGTGTTCCTCCCTGCCTCACACTGGGGGTAGTGACAGTCCTGACCCTGGTACCTGGTGGACCGAGTGAGCGAATGAAATACTGAAACACTTCCCGTAGAAACTGGCACGCGTACAATCCTGCGTGGTCCATTCTGCAGTAATTGTTCATGTTTCGTGGGCCCGCTGTTAGATGCAGGCTCGTAAAGGTACTGACAGGTGTGCTTCCTTCTCATCACGATACGCTCTGATGCCTGTTCTGTACCGTCATGGTCACGGCTGAAGTTAAGGAGGTGGTGAGCACAGTCACACCCTGGTCAGCAGACGTCTCTCCTGTCCCTGACTCCACTGTTCTCGGCCACCGTGGTCCCTGTCCTTGGCCATTGTGATGTCCTCCAAACAACGCCCATGGGAGCATCTTGGTCCCTCCCTGAGGCGTCTCCAAGGTGACCTGGTCAGACCCCTCCACTCTCTTGGTCCTTTCCTTCCCTGTACGAGTTTCCTGTCCCTGGAAGCCATCCCTTGAACTTTGGGATACTCGCTGGGGTGCCGTGACCTCACAGTGATGTGGACTGATTTCCACGTTGTCACCATCCTTTACCAGCCCCTCGTTCGATCGTGGAATCACCCCCTTCTGGCTACCTGGGGGCCTCTCAGAACGTCCCCTCCTCGTAGTTTGCTCATGGATCCAAGCCCACTGAGCTGGAGATGGAGCTAAAGCCCCAGGTTTCTACTTTCAGGGTGTAGATAACCTAGAAAACTAGAGGATGGTCACAAGGGACAGGGATTTGGCAAAGGTGTAATCAGACCCCAGCCAGGACCCCAACCTGGTGGGAACTGAGTCTTGGAGGAAGAGTAAATGTGGCCAAGGAAAGGACAGGGGGAAGGAGCACCTTTCTAGGCGGTGGGGGGAAGAGGAGGGTGGAGAGGGGAGGAAGGTCGTGGGGAAGGTCAGGGCACCGAGAGGGAGAGGGGCACCAGGAGACCCGGTCAGACCCGCTTTGGGTGGGGTTTCTCTTCCAGAAAGAAATTGGAATTCCAAAAGAAGGGGAGAGAGGGTTCAGGAGATGCACCGGTCACCTCCCAGACTCACGATAACCATTTCGCGAGCTGCAAATGAGACCATGTCCCACCAGGGTCTCCTGGAGTGAATTCGGGAAGCTCCTTCTAGTGTGTTTCTGAGGATGACTCTCAAAGGACACCCTGACACCTGGCTGGTGTCGCTGGTCTAGGACTCGGTCCATAGCTAGGTCTCGTGGTCACTACTGACACCTTCTGTGTCACTTTGGTCAAGGAGGGTGGCCAACTGCATGGGGCGCACCTGTGCCCCTTGCACGCCTGAGAAAGTTGCTGGTGAGGGAGGTGCGGGGCCGCACACGCACGTGCAGACACACGGCTGGGGCTTTGCTTTTGCAAGTGGAGATTTTGACAGACCTTGCTCTCATGCTGGATTTTAAATTAGATTCTTTTATTGCAACTGCAAGTGGAAAATAATACACCCCTGGAACGTTATTAGCTAAACCTTCCACAGTAATAAATCTGTGTGCTAATGGTTTGTTTCTGCGCTGTTTGGTTGCCATGGTGACAGGCTGCATTAACTAATAAGTTTGTTTTGAGAATTTTAACACCGGGTTGCCAAATGCTCTTTCTGCAGCAAGGGCTTAAGCTTTTACGGTTCTCTATGGGATTAACTTGGACTCAGTGTCCTTCGAGCTCTGAAACACAGCCAGAGCCCCATCCACAAACACGACTCGGAAAGTGTGAGATGCGCCTCTGTAAACATGCATGAAATAACGGTACTCTGGGGACGCCACGGAAAGGGGGAGAGCCAGCAGGACTGTGCCCGTGGTCTTGGCTTTCTGGAGCACAGTTCAGAGCAGGGACGTCTCGGTGACAGACAGGGAGGCCAGGCGTCTCTCCTGGATGTCTGACGAGAGTGTGAGCCTCTCATCAAGGGGACCGGTGCTTCCTGTCCCCACCTCACTCCCACCCGCTGCCCGGAGAGGCCCCGAGGCAGAGGCAGCCGCTGAGATGGTGGGGCAGGGGCCACGGGGTACCCAGCCAGGGGCTGACCCTTGAGAGGGAGGTGACATGCAGGCCGGGTCTGCTATGTCTGAAGCTCCAAGGGGGGCGCTGCTTATTCCCAGGACGTGTGGGGCGGCGAGGGGACTGTCTAAGCCAGGAGGCTTGCTGGGCCCTGCCGGCCTGGTTACAACCTGCTCTGGGCCCTTGGGGCTTCCCTGGTGGTCCAGTGGCTTAGAATCCGCCTTCCAAAGCAGGGAACGTGGATTTCCTGGTCAGGGAACTAAGATCCCGAATGTCACAGAGCAGCTAAGCCCGTGCGCCGCAACTAGAGACAAACCCTCTCGCCACAGCGAAGAGCCCACTTACCTCGACGAAGGAGCCCGTGTGCTGCAACTAACACCCGGCGCGGCCAAAATAAAGAAAGAAACAAAGGGGGAGAAAGCGCTCTGTGGGCCTGAGGGTCCCTCTGTAAAGGAGGGACTTCTTCATCCCTGGGTGGGAGCTTCGGGGCCTGACACTGGACATGGGCTCTGCCCTCACGGTGCTGCCGTGTCCTCTGCTGACTCGCCCGTGCTTTGTTCCTGTTAATGATCCTGCTTGGACGACACCTGCCAAGTCCTGGCCAGGGAGGGGTGCCTGCAAACAGGTCCCCGCCACCCCGTCCCCGCTCTCCTCTCGGCCCTGCCGGACTCTCACCCCGGAGCCTGGGGACGCGGTCCAGGACCCGCCCCGCACGCGGTGGGAGGTGAGCGGACCTCACGCGGCTGGGCCCGTCCCCAGGCTCCTCCTTTCCAGTGGGAGTCTGGCAGGGGACAGCAGCCCTCTCACGTCACGTCACCATGCACCCCAGAGCCCTCTTGGCGCCCCGATGCTGAGATTCCACGGACTGGAGCACCCGCTCTTCGTGAGGGATTGTCCCAGAGGCTGAAGGCTCCATTCGCCGAGGGTGCTGTCTGTGGCTCTAAGAATGGGGAATAATTAACTAATTTAAAGTCCGTGCTCAGCGCTGGTCTAGGAGCTGGTAAAGCTGGAGGACAGGGCAGGCCATGTGCTGCTCCAAGGGAGCCCGGATCCCAGCGACTATGTAACAAGCGAGTGAGTGATCGATACAGAATCCCAGGTGGTGGTGCCAGGAGGAGGCCAGTCTGGGTGGGGCTGGCGGGTGATGGAGAAGACCTGCTGCAGCGGGCAGACCCAGGGGCTCGGGCGAGGACGCATGTCGAGGGCTCCCTCGGTGCCGGGGTGGAAGCACAGAGCAGGTGCTCAGAAAGCAGGGCCGTCGGCAGGTGGGGAGGTGACTCTGCCGGTTGTGGAACCTGCCGCTCAGAAGAGGCAGCGGCTCCTCCAGCAGCTGGCGGAGACGGCCGCCGCCCTGCCTCCCTGTGAAGGATGGCCTTGGCCTCAGCTAACAGGAGGGAAAGGGACATTGCAGAACACCTGGATGACCCCGTGACATCAGGGTGGGGCAAGGCCCGTCGGTTTCAAGAGTCTGGAGCTCTTCAGATGCATTTGGAAAATCGTTTATCCCACTTAATCTACCCTCAAAAACTGTGGAGCCTTGGC